AGTTCCTGTTCGTTTACCCAGATTTTCCATCTCCAATCTTCCCTCGGTTTGTGTTTTCTTCATTACTTCCATTTCATTCTTCAAGTCTTGAACTGCTTCCCGTACCTGTCTGATTGCTTTTTCATGTTTCTCTTGATTTTCTTGGGTATCTTTAAGCGATTTATTCATTTCCTCTACCTTTTTGTTTGTAATCTCTAATTGTTTATGGCAGTTTTTCACCTCCTGCTTAAGGTCTTCTATTATTTTCATATAATTCACTTTTGAGTCGATTTCTTCTAATTCTTCTGGAGTAGGGTGTACAATTCTTCTTATTTCGGGATCCCTTGATTCTGGTGAAGTCATGTTGCCTTTCAGGTTGTTGGAGGAAGTCTTGCATTGGCGCCTTCCCATCTCCTCCTTCAAATGGAGCCAGGAGAGGCCTGGTGTCTTGGTCCAGACTTTGCTGTGAATGAGTCTCTGGGTGTATCTTTTCAGTGTAGAAGCAGGGACCGTCCCGTTGAGCTGGAACTCCCCAGCACCCAAACATGGACTACCGTCCAGATGGAACTCCTCAGGACCGCTCTGGGTTGGTTGTGGATGCAAGCCTGATGTCTCTCCTGGTGCGGGGTTCGGATCTCCTTGCTGCTTGGGTGACTTGTAATCAAAGGACCTACCTAGCTCGCTGCAGGCAGGCTAGCGGGGACAAAGGAGCTAGCACCCTCCCGTTTGCCCTGCCGATTCGGATTTGGTCCTAGAGCCCAAACAGGCTGGGCTGGGAGATGTTATGTGGTCAAAGAGGGAAGGGGGTCAGAAGGAGGGGGCGGAGAGGGTTGTGGATGCAAGCTGGGTGGGATAGGAAGAGAGAGGAAGTATCGGGCAGAGTAGCCCCTGAGGTTGACCAGGAAGTCGCTTTGTGATTTTTTTATGTAAATATTTTAAATGTTTCACTTAACCTATACACGAACATGTTGACTGCAGATTACACTCTAATTAGGATAATACACCTTTTGGAAAGTTTTGTTGGTTATTGATTATGTAGTTTCTAATTGTGAAACATCTAGATAAAAGTGTAGAGTTTTGATAAGTGTAGTTACATTTTCTAATGAAATTTGGCTTTCTAGGAAGGTCTTAAAAATCTAAAATGGCTGGTGATTGATCTCATAGTTAAGTCACAACTTTGTGCGGACAGTAACTCTAGAAAACTGAAGAGGCTTGATCTCTTTCATGGTTGTTCTTTATCCACACTGTAGCTCATTTTTGAGTTTGGCTTCTGATGTTAACTTGAGAAGTGGGTTGGAACATGGCTACCTATATGAATCATTATTTAGGCCCCATCTATGTTTTGTTTTATTAATGCTCTTGCTAACAAACATGGCGCACTTGCCCTGGTTTAATGGAATTTGACTCTATAGAAATAGAATGTTAGTTCTGTGCATCCCCTGCCTTTTCTTTAGTACTAGTTTTTCTTTCTTTTGTTGTTCTTTTTTCTTTTTTTTCAGCTCTAAGGTATTTATTTATTTTATTTTATTTTTTTTATTGAGAATAAGAAAAAAAAAGTTTCCGCCTCCTCCCAGCCTCCCATTTCCCTCCCCCTCCCCCACTCTTCTCCCCCTCCCCCACTCCTCTCCCCCTCCCTCTCCAATCCAAAGAGCAGTCATGGTTCCCTGCC